ATTCCAACAAGTGATGAAATATTTTTGCTCAGGAAGGTGCCCTAGGGTTCAAAGAATATTTTGGAATTTTCTCAGATTTTTGTGGGCAAGAAAAATGAGGGTTGCTTTGGAGCTCAATGAACTAGCTAGGGTTTTAGAGAAGAAAAATGAATATTTTTCATTTAAGAAAAATATTCCCAAGATTATTTTGAGATGAATCAGAAGGGAATGATGATTAGAGAGGGGAATGATGCACTTGGGTGAAAGCCAAGGGTACCCAAGTGTCTAAGTCCATATGAAAAGATTCAAAAACCCCAACTTTCAAAAGAAATCCAAATGAAAATCACGCAAATAAGAGAGGCAAAAAATTAGGCTGTCACATTAGCCTGGCGTTTTAAGCTAAGCCCGCGGTCTTCGGTCGTGGGTGGTGGCATCTCGCCGGTTTTGAAGAGAACTTTCCAGATTTCTTCGTGCGTCGTGCCGAAGAGCTCTAGTAGCGTCTGGTGCTTGGCCGGATCATACTCCCAGACACAGCAAGTCCAGCATTGGCACGGAAGGACCCGACGAATGAGCATGACCTCGACCACGTTGACAAGCTTGATCTTCCTATCTATCATGCTCTAGACGCACATCTGGAGCCCAGTGAGCTCGTCCGAGGGACCCTAGGTTAGGCCCCTCTCTTGCCAGGAGGTGAGCCGCATCGGGATTCCGGATCAGAATTCGGGGGGCCGCTACCCAGTGGGCATCACAAGGATCGGTGATATAGAACCACCCCGATTGCCGCCCTTTCACCGTCTCTGCAAATGAGCCTTCGGGCTAGGTGACGTTGGGCATCTTGCCCACCATGGCGCCTCCGCACTCTGCTTGTTGGCCACTCACCACCTTCGGCTTCACATTGAAGGTCTTTAGCCATAGGCCGAAGTGAGACGGGATGCGGAGAAAGGCCTCGCACACGACAATGAATGTTGTGATGTTGAGGATGATGTTGGGAGCTAGGTCATGGAAGTCTAGCCCATAGTAAAACATCAGACCACGGACGAAGGGGTGAAGAGGGAAGCCCAGCCCGCGAACGAAATGTGTGAGAAACACAACCCTCACTACTAGGAAAAAGCCTACTAGTGGCGCACCTGCTTTGCCTACTAATGGCGCACTACAGGTGCGCCACTAGTAGCACGCCATTAGTATTTTTTACTAATGGCGCACCTCTGGTGTGCCATTAGTATCTGGTATACTAATGGCACACCACATAGAAGTGCGCCATTAGTAACAATTTTTAAAAAAATCAATTTTTTTAATTTTTTTTGTTTTTTCTTAATCTCAGGTCACTATGGCTTAATCTTAGGTCAAATCGCACTCCGTGGTCAAACTTCCCAGAAGGTCTCCCATCTTCTATACAACCCCAGCACCAGCTCACTTCACACGCACTTATTGATATATCTATCATATCAATCCTATTAAACCTTGTTGATGTTTAGGACTTTGTTCATGTTCATGAGTATGATGAAATTTTGAAAAGATATTTCAAACTTCCCGATCATATTACGTATCATATTTTGAAAAAAAATGATTTTTTTTCGAAACCAATTTTTTTTCTGTTACTAGTGGCGCACCTAGCAAACGGTGCGCCACTAGTAAGTTTGAATTTTTTTTTTCCATTTTTTCCCTCTAGATCTTAAAAGCCCCGTAACTTATTTTTTTTTTGACATTTCCATCATTTTCTTTTATTTTCTTTAAACC